TAAGAGGTTCCCAGTATCTATGCAGCACAAGGGCACGTAAGGGGGTCATAATAGCATCTGCTGCAGAAAGTCAAGGACTGCAGTCATCTATATGGAGTGAAGTTCAACATTAGGAAAACTAAGATTCTCACCACTGGGTCAATTAGCAGCACCATGACATATGGAGAAGAGATTGAAATTGTGAGCAATTTCGGCTTGCTTGGGTCCAAAATTAACACTCTTGGAACCAGTAGCCAAAAAATCAAAAGAAGAACTGGATTAGGAAAGTCTGCTGTCAAAGACCTCTCCAGAGTGCCAAAGTGCAAAGACGTTAGTCTAGAGACTAAGGTGTGCCTATCCAGGCCATGGTCTTTGTGATTATTCACTATGCATCAGAAAGTTGGACAATGAATAACCTTGACAGAAGAATTGATGCCTTTGAGTTGTGGTTCAGGAAAAGAGTATTGACTATATTATGGGCTGCCAAAAGAACAAACAGGTCTGTCCTGGAGACTGTGAAACAAGTTGTTCTTTGGACGCTCCATCTCACATACTTTGCATGTTGCCGGGAGGGACCAGTCATTGGAGAAGGACATGACAGATACAAGGATATAGGAGCAATGCAGGGGAGGAAGACCCTGGATGAGATGGACTGACATTGGCTCAGGATTAAGAAAACAAAGATTCTCACCAATGGACCACTTAGAAATGCCATGATATATGGAGAAGAGATTGAAGTTATGAATAGGGTTCCGTGCATAAGGTCACTGTGAATCACAGGTGACTTGGTAGCACTTAATAATAACAACAACCACAGTACTAGGAGATGTAGGATAACAGGTACTTGTTTATTTGAGGTGATTCAGGCACAGTCTTTTTGGAGAAATTTGAGATTTCTGATAGAAGTAAAGGAAAATTGATTCAAAGTGAGAGACTGAACAATGAAAACTCGCAGGTATGAGAAGTTCCAGAAACAAACTGGAGCAGATTGAGACCAGGAGTGAATGACAGGAGATGAGCCTGAGAGGAAGGTGCCTGAAGTAGTGCTCACTGGGAGCTTGGTTATGTATGGCTGGTGACTTCTCCAAATGAGAAGCCTGTAGACTGAGAATAATATTTTCCAGTGACATATCTGACAAGGGACTCGTTGATAAAATTTCTAGAAAATGCCAACAGCTCAACAAGAAAAAGACAAAAACAAATGACACCATTACCAAACGAGCAGAGACCATGAATAGACACTTCACCAAAGAAGATATTCAGAGGGCCAAAAGCACATGAAGAATTTATCAAGACCACTACTTATTTTTAAAAATTTAAATGCAAGTCAAAATAACTATGAGAAATCCAAGCAGTTATTCCTGGCAAGAGTGTGTGACAGCTTAGGAAAGCAGTTTGACATTTCCTTCAAAACTTGAGTATACGGTTGTTGAAGAAATAGAAAGATAACTGATACAAGGTGTATAAGGCTCCACAGTAGGAGGAGTCAGAGCAGAGGGGTGAGAATGAGAAGGAAGAAAATCAGAGAGTCACACAGTTTGGTTGGTGGAGGGAGGAACAGGGGTAAAGGAAATTAAAAAGATCCTGTGAGGATCTGGAAAGACACGGTGGGTACAGTTCAATGGTGAATAATTTTATAAAACATAATGAATGGGAATGGTTGTATGAAACACAATGAGAATGAAGGATAGTGTGAAACACAATGTATATGAACTTAGTAAATAAAGCAATATAAAATAAAACTTTTTTTAAAAGGTGAGAATAGAAATACCATTTGATCCAGCAACAACACAAGAAATGGATTAGAAATACTGTTTGATACAGCAATCCCATTGCTAGTTATATATCCCAAAGAAACAAGAACTACAACACAAACAGAAATATTTACACCCACAATCCAGGGTTACTTACAATCGCAGAGTGGCAAACAACCCACCCGTTCATCAGCAGACCGATGATGAAAGAAACTCTGGCGCATTCACACAGTGGAGCATTACTCACCACTAAAAGCGATCAAGAGTTTGCAAAATAATGAGCAACATGGATTAAACTAGAACAAGTTATCCTAACACGTATCTGTCATAAAAACCCCTTATAGTATAAGATCATTTAATTGTAAAAAACTAAGAGAGTTTTACACACCGATTCAACTTAGAAAGGTTAACAGGGATGAAAAAGGAGAGGACAGGAGGGAAAAAGTCATCAACATATAAATTGGGTAAGGGAAAAGGCAGCATGAAAAACTAAAAGACAGGAAAAACAAAAGATGCATCAACATATAAATAATTTTTTTAAAGTTAAGACTAAAATGGGCTAATAAAAGGATAGGCAACATCCTGATGAATGGAGAAAGAATTGAGATTATCAACAACTTCATTTTACTTGAATATACAATCGATACACATAGTAGTAGCAGTCAGGAGATCAGGAGACATATTACATTGGGGAAGTCTCGAGTGAGGTACCTCTCCAAGTTACTGAGGGGCAATGATGTCAGTGTGAGGACAAAGGTGCACTTCATTCAGGCCATAGGATTTTCAGGCACTTGTTATGTATCTGAGAGCTGGAAAATGACTAAGGATGACAGAAGGTGAATTGATGCCTTTGAACTATGGTGTTGGAAGAGAATATTGAAGATTTCATGGACTGTCAAAATAACAAACAGATACATTTTGGAGAAGCTATAGCCAATGTGCTCGTTGGAGGCAAAGATGATGACGTTTCATCTCATACAGTTTGAGCATGTTGCTAGGAGAGGGTATTCCCTGGAGAGGGACATCATGCTTACAAAGTTAGAGGGTCGGTGAAAGAGAGGAAGACCCTCAACCAAGCGGATTAACACAGTGACTGCAGCAATTGGCTTAAGTGTATCAGAGATTTTGATGCTGGTATAGATGATAGTGTTCACAGAGCTTGTTTATGGGGTGCTAAGGTGAGCCATGATTCAGGCCACAGTCCTTGCAATCACTTGCTCTGCATCAGAAAGCTGCACAAGGACTAGGGATAATAGGGGAGAATTGATGCCTTTGAGCTGTGGTGCTGGAGAAGAGTATCGAACTCCATGGACTGCTAGGAAAACAGGTTCATTCTAGAGAGGGTGAAGCCAGGCTGCTCCTTGGAGGCAATGATTCTGAAGCTTCGTCTGGTATACTTTGAGTATGTTGCAAGGCGGGATCAGTCCTTGGAGAGGGATGTCATGCTTGGGAGGGTGGAGGGACAGCACAGGAGAAGAAGACCCTCAATGAGATGGGCTGATTCAGTGACTGGGGTAAAGTGGGTAGATGTGTCAGAGACAGTGAGATTGGCACAGGAAAGAGCAGAGTTTAGGGCTGTTGTACAGGGAGTGGGCTAGGAGTCGCAGGCAACTTGATGGCACATAACAACAACAACATGAGTTGTATTGGACTTAATAGCATCTCACAACAACAGTAACAACAAACCAAGGTGTAGTATGAGTTGCAGTCAACTCAATGGCGCTTAAGAACTGCAACAGTAACAACAACATCACATGCATGTGATAGGTGGACAACAAGTTCCAAAGACTGAAGTGTTGGCATCTTTAAATAGTGGTGTTGGAAAAGAGTGTTGATTATACAATGAAATGCCAAAAACCAGGCAAACCCAGTCTTGAAAGAAGTGCTGCCTGGATGCCTCTTATAAGGATAGTGAAATTTTTGTCTCACAAACTTTAGAAATGTTATGAAGAGACATCAGTCTTTAAAAGACAATCCTGTCTTTTAGAAAAAGACATTGTTCTTGGAAAAATAAATGGAGGGTCGGTGGAAGAGAAGACCCTCAATGAAAAGGATTGACACAGCAACTGCCACAGAGTGAGTGCTTGAGTATTGCAGAATCTGGGAGGACGGTGCAAATTAGCGCACAGTTCCGATCTGTTGTTCATGGTGTGACTATGAGTTGTAGTCAGCTTAATTGCTCTAACAACAACAACTCTTTAGCCCTAATAACAGCGCTAGGAGCCAGGACTTTGAGCAATGATGCAGATGATGCGTGAGGTAGATGAAAACATTCCCGGGTTGAAAGAGGCAAAAACAATTGCCAGAGTCCACACATCTCTTCAGCTTGAAGTTCAAGCTATAGTCTAGCAAGGTTAGCCTCACCCAAAGCCACCCTCTCATGGAACACTCTGGGACACCCATTGTGCTCATGGAGTCTCAGTAATCCAGGTATGTCTGTCCTGGAGAGTCCATGACTTACATCACCTCACCTCAAATACAAGACACTGGCTAATGAACCAGCAGGGTGACTACCAGTGGTGCGTGGAGCCGAGGGCTGTGTGCAACTCAAGCCAGGCACATCTGGGAAGCAACGCAATATCCAGTCAATGGACTCTGATTCTGTTTGCTCTTCTAATAACTATGTTGACCCTGGTTAATAATCACTACCAGCCTCCCCCTTGCTCTTCAGTGTCTACTGCTTAAATCCAGACCAGCACGAGGCTCTGTCCCCCTCAGCCTTGGTCACCTAGCAGCTCTTAGACTGTGAACTGTAAGTATTTTAAAGGGGAGAGTCTCTGGGTGGTGACAGACCTCAGGAGCATGGAACTTTGGATATGGGCTCCTTCTCATCAGAGTAAGAGTAGCCCAGGAAGTCCCTCCCTGCCCCCCTTTAGCCTGGTCTGGGTGGTCCCCAACCCGATCAAGAATGAACAATCTCAGCCTGCTCTTCAACTGCTAGGCTAGTAGCCTGAATTAGAACATTCAATGTTCACAACAATCCTCTGAAATGCTATTATGATCACCCTGTATTGTGGATGACGAAAATGGGGACAAATAAAAACCTGTGCCAGATATTACATTGTGTGGAAACCTAACTCAGGCCACCCGGCTCCTGATCCAGTTGTACTGCAACATTTGCACAAGTCTTTGAACCCCAGCCTGGCCTGACCCCAAAGTCTCTCTGAAGATTCTGCCAATTCTGTCTTCTTATGTAAAATGTAGTGGGAGGCATGACATGACCACTTGACTCAGAGCTTGGCGCCCTCTTCTCTCTCTTGCAGGACAATGCGATCCTCAATCTCTTGGGGCCTCCTCCTGCTGGCAGGCCTGTGCTGCTTGGCTCCCAGCTCCCTGATCAAGAGCCTCCCTGGAGTCAATGCCCAGGAAACAGATGTGACCAAACATGGTCATGACCAGCACCAGACAGCAGCCTATCACAAGATCGCCCCACACCTGGTCGACTTCGCCTTCAGACTGTACCGTGAGGTGGCCCATCAGTCCAACACCACCAACATCTTCTTCTCCCCGGTGAGCATTTCTATAGCCTTAGCCCTGCTTTCCACTGGGGCCAAGTCTGAAACCCACACCCAGATCCTCGAAGGCCTGCAGTTCAATCTCACGGAGATAACTGAGAGCGAGATTCATGACGGCTTCCAACACCTCCTCCACACCCTCAATCAGTCCAACAGCCAGGTCCAGCTGACCACAGGCAATGGGCTGTTCATCCAAGAGAATCTGCAGCTAGAGAAGAAGTTTTTGGAGGATGCTAAGAAACTGTATTACTCAGAAGCCTTCTCTGTTAATTTCATGAACACTGAAGCAACCAAGAAGCAGATCAATACTTATGTGGAGCAGGGAACCCAGGGGAAAATTGTAGACTTGGTTAAAGAACTTGACCAAGAAACAGTTCTTGCTCTGGTGAATTACATTTTCTTTAAAGGTAAGTTGCACAATCAGCTTGAACTGGGTCCCATTTGTTGTTGCTGTTGTTAGGTGTCAGAGAGTTGAGTATATATCTGAACCCTGTCCTGTCTTGTGCCACCCTCACCATCTCTGACACACTTGAGCCCATAGATGCAGTCACAGTGTCTGCGGGTCGTCTTCTCCTTCTCTGTCCATCTACCTTTTCCAAGCGTAATGTCCTTCTCCAAGAAATAACCTCTCTTAACATCCTGCCCAAAATATGAGAGCTGGAACTTCACCATCCTTGCTTCTAAGGAGCACTCTGGTTGCAAGTTTTCCAAAACATATGTTTGTTCTTTTGACAGTCTATGGGAAACTCAGTACACTCCTCCAAATCCACAGTTCACAGGCACCAAGTTTTCTTCTGTCATCCTTACTCATTTTCCAGCTCTCAGATACATAGCAAGTGATTGAGAAGTCCATGGCCTGAATCAGGAGCACCTTAGTTCTCTAAGTAACATCATTGTTCCTCAATAATTTGGAAAGGTCCCTGGCTGCAGACTTTCCCAGTGCAACATATCTCCTGATCTCCTGACTGCTGGTACCAACTGTATTGATTGTGATTCCAAGTAAGATGAAATCAATGATAGTTTCACTCCTTTTTCTATCTATCATGATATCACTTATTAACTCAGTGAGAATTTTTTCCCTTTCTTTTTTATTATAATAATTTGTTTACAAAATTCTATTACATTGTTTTTCACATTAGTTCCTTCCCATTTCCCTAACTTCCCCACCCATCAAATTGTGCAACCCCATGATTAATCTGCCCCTGCACATCCTCAACCCTCTGCTTCCACCAAATTTCTGTTTTCTTGATGTTGAGGTGCAATCATATTGATACAATCCTGACTCACATCTTTCTTAATTTTAAACCATGTAGTGTTAATTTCTCTATTCACACAACAGCTTCTTGGTCTAGGTATAGATTTCACATGAGCACAATTAACTGTTCTGGTATTCCCATATTTCTCCATATTAGCCATAATTTGACATGGCTGGTTCCAATGGAAACATCCTAACATACACTCTCAGACTCAGTTCTTAAAATTCTCTTGGTGATTCAACATAGGGGATGTCAATCAATCTCTTGATGATCATTACTTTTACCACCTGCAACCAATAAGCATCCTTCCACCATCAAATAATTTTGAGAAATGCTAGGATAAATTGAGTTAAGTCATCTACCTCATTGACAACCTATTTAGGACCTATAATGTCTTAATACATTACAAATCTCTACTAGAGAGAGGGGTGGAATGTGGAACATTCCCGAAACTGTAGAGCTATTTTTTTTAAAGAGCATATGAAGGGAATAGTGTGTCATGTAATATGTTTCAAAGACCTAAAGTAAAGAATGTTGGAGTCAAAGTCAGAAAGACCTGGGTTCAAATCTTCACTCTACTTCTTACTATATCTGCATGGTGAGGGAGTAGTAGCTTTGCCTCACTAATGTTCTAGCTTGCCATCTGTAACACAGAAATAAGAAAAGTCTTGCTCCTACATGATTACAAACAGCCAATGGAGCAAATTAGTGAGTCTTTTAAGTGATGTGACTGCACAGTGCACTTGGTTACTGATCAGAAGATTGGAAGTAAGAGACCACCTTTAAAGAAATGCCTAGTAGTCTATTTCTGAACATCATCCATTCTACTCTACATGAGGTCACCATGTGTGGAATTGATTTGACATCAAATAGTTTTGTTGTTGTTGTTGTTGTTGTTGTTATGTGCCGTTGAGTTGCCTACAACTCATAGTGACCCCATGTACAACAGCCCTAAACCCTGCTCTATCTTCGGTGTCTCTGACACATCTACCCCCATGACACCAGTTACTGAATCAATCCATCTCATCGAGGATCTTCCTCTCCTGCGCTATCCCTCCACCCTCCCAAGCATGACGTCCCTCTCCAAGGACCTGTCCTCCTTACAACATGTCCAAAATATGTCAGACAAACCTTCAGAATTCTTGCCTCTAAGAAGCCTGGCTTCACCCTTTCCAGGACAAACCTGTTTGTTCTTCTAGCAGTCTATGGTATATTCAATACTCTTCTCCAGCACCACAGCCCAAAGGCATTAATTCTCCTTCTATCATCCCTAGTCATTGTCCAGCTCTCTGATGCACAGTAAGTGATTGCAAACACCATCGCATGTATCAGGCACACCTTAGCCTCCAAAACTGACATTGTTGCTCTTCAGTACTTTATAGAGGTCTCTAACTGCAGACTTTCCCATCGCAACATGTCTTTTAATTTCCTGGCTGCTGGTGCCAAGAGTGTTGACTGTGAAGCCAAGCAAAGTAAAAATGAACAATCTCAATCTCTTCACCATCCATCATGATGCTGCCATTCAGCCCAGTGGTGAGAATCTTTGTCTTCTTGATATTGAACCTCAATTCATACTGAAGACTGCACTCTCTGACCTTCCACAGTAGCACTTCAGGTCCTCCTCAGTTTCAGTAAGCAGGGTTGTTTCATCTGCATAACACAGATTGTTGATGTATCTTCCTCCAATTCTGATACCACATTTCTCCTCATAGAGCCCAACTTCCCAGATAATCTGTTCTGCATAAAGATTGAAAAGGTATGGAGATAGGATACATCCCTGGCATGCACCCTTCCCAATTTTGAACCTGCAGTGTTTCCCTGCTCCGTTCTGATGACTGTCTCCTGGTCCAAGTATAGGTTTCATATTTGAACGATCAACTGTTCTGGGATTCCCATTCTTCTCAGAGTTAGCCAGAGTTTGTTGTGATCCACACAGTCAAACACCTTTGCATAATCAATGAAACATAGATAGCCATTCCTCTGGTACTCCCTGCTTTCAGCCAAGATACATCTGACATTAGCTCCAATATCTCTAGTACCATGTCCCTGTCTAAACCCAGCCTACACTTCTGGTAGTTCTCTATTGATGTGCTGTTCAAGCCGTTTTTGGGTAATCTTCAGCAGAATCTTGCTTGCATGTGATATTAATGATATTGTTTGATAATTTCCACACTATGGGATCACTTTTCTTTGGAATGGGAACAAATATAGATCTCTTCCAGTGAGTTGGCCAAGTGGTTGTTCTCCAGATTTCTTAGCACAACTTGGTTAACACATCTAGGGCAGCATCAGTTAGTTGAAATATGTTAATTGTTATAGCATCAATTCCTGGGGCCTTATTTTTAGCCAATTCTTTCAAAGCAGTTTGAACTTCCTTCATCACCACAGGTTCTAGTTCATATGTTGTTTCATTAAACTATTCTGTGTTTGCCAATTCCTTTTGGTATAATGACTCTGTATACTCTTTCCATCTTCTTTTAATACTTGCAGGATCATTTCATATTCTGCCCAAAGCATCCTTAAGTATTATAACTTGAGGCTTGAATTTCTTCTTCAGTTCCTTGAGAGTAAGAAATCCTGAGTGAGTTCAGCCCCTTTGATTTTCTAACTCCAGCTCTTTGCGCATTTCATTATAATACTTTACTTTGTCTTGCCGCTCTGCCTTTTGAAATCTTCTGTTTAGGCTTAAAAAATTAAAGCACATAGGACTATGTTGAACATCATACCTGAGCTTGTCACCCAATCTCGAGTCTTTAAAGTGCTATAATGTACTGCTGTTGTTGCTGTTGACCCTGTGAACAATAGCTCTAAACCTTGCCCTATCTTAAGCCAGTCTCACCATCTCTGACTTACATGTCCCTATTGCCACAGTCAATGTGAAACCATCTCATTCATGGTTGTCTTCTCCTGTTATGACCCTTTACTCTTCTACTAGACCTTAGCGACAGATTATATCCATGTTTAATTGTTCTATGGCCATTTCTAGAATGTCCCATGTAAATAAATTGGGTGAGAGATTGAATTAAGACAATAGCTGTTTGCTTCATGAGAATGGCTCCTTTCCTCTGGATGCAAAGCAGTGTAATATAGAGTGACCCCAAGTGCCACGCATGTGCTGGGACTCTAGGCTGGCTACATCCTTTTTCTTGCCTCAGTCATTCCCTCCTGCTAATAAGAAAAGTGGACTCAGTGACCTCCAAAACACATCCCCACTCTTACCTGTCTTGATAGTGATGCTCTTCTGATATAATAAAGAGGTAGCTTCCATAAGGACCTATGTTTGTGGTGTTGAACCCGGGAAAAGTGTTCTGAATACTTAAAAGAATATATCTCTTCATTCTTGCCTTTTGTTTTTTTGATGTTATGGGTTATATTTATTGTCTTTCTTACATTGAGCCATCCTTGAATGCCTATTATGAATCTCACTTGGTCATAATGTATTAGCTCTTTTGATATGTTATTGGAGTCTATAAGTTAGTGTTTATTTTGTTAAGAATTTTTGCATCCATATTGATGAGAGATATTGGTCTATAACTTTTTTTGGTGATTCTTTGTTGTTGCTATGTGCTGTTGAATTGCCTACAACCTGCAACCCTATGTACAGCAGTTCTGAACCCTGCCTTGTCTTGAGCCAGTCTCACTAATTTCAACACACCAATCCCAATTGCTCCAGCCACTGTAAAAATCCATCTCATCTAGGATATTCCTCTCCTGTGCTGTTCCTCCACCCTTCCAAACATGATGTCCTTCTCCAAGGCTGGTCTCTCCTGGCCACGTACCCAAAGTATGAGATCTGGAACTTCAAAATCTTAGCCTCCATGAAGAGACTTGGTTTCACCCTCTCCAGGACAGACCTTCAGATCCTCCTCAGCTTCAGCAAGTAGGGTTGTGTCATCTGCATAACATAGATTATTGATGAATCCAGTTCTGATGCCACATATCTCCTCATAGAGCCCAGCCTCCTGGATAATCTGTTCTGCATATAGATTGAAAAAGTATGGAGATAGGATGCATCCCTGGTGTACAGCCTTCCCAATTTTGAACCATGCAGTGCTTCCTTGCTCTGTTCTGACGACTGCTTCCTGGTCCAAGTATTGGTTTCTCATTAGCATGCTCAAGCGTTCTGGGATTCCCATGCCTGCTGAAACTGA